CAGGAGCCTGTAGAATTTCATTTTAAGTATTCAGGATGTATGTTTAGGCTTTTACGAAAATGATATGTAAGGACATGATTTTTTTTTTTAAGTCAGGTTTGACATTCATTTTGTAGTTCATCAATTTTTTCATGGGGCTACATCTATGACCTTTTATTTAATTAACTTTTGCAGTTAGTCTACGGAAGGAACTGAAGAATAACCAGTGAGCCAAACATTATCTTCAAATGACATCAATAATTCTCAGCTAAAATGAATGTGCTGATAATACAATATACAAACAATCCAATACAATCTCAAAACCAAACAGGATTAAAAATATGAAAAGGAAATTAGTAGACGTGCACGCATGACAGTGGCTAGGGCTAGCTAGCCATGATAGTATCACCAAACACCGGTGCCAAATTAGAAGCTAGAGAGAGCTGAAGCCAGGAAGACAAGAAATAAGATTGACGGTGCGAATTTTATAGAACTTCCAGCTGATGGAGCTTGACCAGCAGTAGGGACTGTCTTTGATCCTGCATTAGTTATACGACAATCTTATAATACAAAATCTTGAATACTAAGATATAAGCAGAGGGTAGAGGATGATTCATACCTGAAGGAGTGCTTGGGACTGCCGGAGTCGATGGATTCGATGGATTCGATGGAGTAGTTGGAGTTGGGACTGAAGGTGATGACTGCGAAGGGCCAGTTGCTGCTGATGGAGTGGTTGGTGATGCCGGCGATGGGGCTCCTTGGGGTGATCCAGCTCCTGAAGCTGCAGAGAAAATATATATCAGTGTGTATAACAATACATAAAGAACAGCTTCGTGGCTGTTTGGTTTGATGCGAAACCAAAATGTAGCGAATGTCGCAACAAAAAATGCTGCATGTCAAATCCATTGTTTGGATACCTGCGATTTTATTGTGGAAAATGCATTTCGAATGCAAATTCAGGTGGTTGGCCGATAAATAATTGGCGAAGAAACTATATGATTTGTAGTAGTTAGAGCTGATTTTCTCTAGAATGAATTGGGAAGATACTTCTGATGAGGTGACGATGTTGCTAACCAGGCATGAGAAATATAAACCCGACTGCAAAATTTACCTCTGCATCCTATTTCCTCTCAACCAAACAACCCCTATAAGCTCAGTAAAGAATTTGCTTACCTTTACACTGGCTAAGTGGTGGAGCCTGGATGTTGCAAGCGCCGGGTAGAGTGAGGGCTTGGGTTTGGTTTATAGCGATTGGGAGCTGAGGGGCGCCATTAAGGAAAACACACAGGCATTGAGCTTGGGTTTGGACTACACTAGCAAGCTGAGTGCAGCAAGCGGATGACGGAGCTGACGAGTTTCCGGTGATAAATCCAAGGCAAGGAGACAGACCCGCAATGTTCGTCGGCGTACAGCCTGTCTGAGCCATAGTTTGTGCACTCATAATGGCCACAAGAACCAGGACTAAACTCATACTGAATACTCTTTGAGCCATGGTAGCAGAAGAAATCGAGATATGGAGAGTTTCAGGGATTTTTTTAGCTGGATTTTTTAATGTGATTTGAGTTTCGAAGTGAAGTGGCCAGAATTTATAGGATGAAGGGGGTTAAACTTAAGGCAGAACAAAGTAGACGTCTCGTGGGTGATCTAACTTTGCCTACCCTAACGAATATGTTTTGAGTTGTTGAGAATTCTCTGGTTGATAATTTTAGTAACATTGACAGGTATTGAAGGTTGTTAAGTTAGCTGAAGGATAAAGGTAGTGTTTTGGGGATTGAGTGCTGGGGTTAGGTGCTATAATTCAAGTAGTCAAGATGTATTGGTGACCAAAGTCTACTAACTCTTTGTTTTTGTTTCAATTGGACCAATCATCACCTTATTATTTTGAATAAAACCTGGATTGGTTTGTCATAATCTTAGGATGATGCTTCTACGTTTTGAACTTTTGAAGTATATGACTCCTTTCAATTTGGTTATTTGAGGAAACCGTTACGGTTGGTAACACTGCGTACAGTACACTGTAGCCGGTACCTTGAGAATTTTTAACTGGTAACATAATACTACATTTGGCAACAACCGTTATTAGCTAGTATAACTGTATGCATGTTTTACTTTTTTACGTATCTTGTTTGAAATGACATGTTATATGATGTGAATTATCAATGATATTGCTATTGACCAGTTTTCTACCTTTGAATAACTCTTTAAACTACATTCACCACTGAATCCTTGATCCTTAGCAGATCACTAAACTGTGAAAAATTCATATGTTCAATTACTATATAATAGCTTTTAGTCTGAACTTTCTTCTTGTATAGTTCC